ATCCCTGGTTCTACCCAGATGAGGAGTTTCGCAGCAAGAGCAGCAGCAGCAGCAAAAACACCCGATTTCAGGGAAAGATAGGATGGCGCAGCATGCTGCCGCAGCAGCAGCAGCGAGGGGGAGCTAGCAGCGGCCAAGCCAAGCTAGAGAGGCAGGAGACAGCAGCAGCAGAGAGACGCGAAGCAAAGGGACAGCAGCTGGGCCCGGCAGGGACAAAAAGAGCCGTTTTACGGAGGAGACAGAGGCAGCCGCTGCAGCGCTCCCTTGGGCCCTGGGGGCCCGCCAAAGGGCCCCTGCTGCCTTTGCTGCTGCCTTTGCTGCTGCCTTTGCTGCTGCCTTCGCTGCTGCCCCTGCTGCTGCCTGCCCCTGCTGCTGCTGCCGCTGCTGCCGCCGCCGCTGCTGCTGCTGCTGCTGCTGCTGTGCTCCCAGGCCCCCGTCCCACCTGGTGAAAGACGCGGCGGCCAGCAGCAGCAGTCTCCGTGGGCTCTGGGCAAACACTAAGGACCCCCATGGGGCTGCGGTAACTCAAAATGCCCTGGACTTTAACAACTTTTGGAGCTTTTCCAGAGGTTGTGGTGGGGCTGGGGGTTTCCTGGGGGGCCACGAAGTACCAGGTGACCCCGAAGGGGGACACGGGGCGCACCACCTCCAAGCACACCGCCGGCGCTGCTGCTGCTGCTGCTGCTGCTGCGGCCAAAGGCCCTTCTGCTGCCCCGCCGGACGACCTGCAACAACCATACACAATTCACAACCCATGCGAGCCCGCGCCTTTCGGCCGCGCCTCCCGGCATCTGCACTCTGCTGCTGCTGCTGTACACCGCTGCTGCTGCTGCACACTGCTGCACACTGCTGCTGCTGCCGCTGCAGCGGCAGCTGCAGCAGGGGGTGTGGGGGCTCACTCGCCAGGAGCCTCCGAGGATTCCCTGTTTTCCGGAGAATTAGGTTTGGCAGCAGCAGGAACTGAAAGAGAGAATTTCCAGCGGCCGCATGCAAACTGGTTGATGAGTTGGGCGCATGCAGGGTGAGAGGCGAAGAGCTTGCAGGGGCGAAAGTGTTGGCCTTTGATGAATTCCTGCTGCGCAATTTTTTCGTTAACTTCTTTGAGTTCGGGGCAGCAAAGAGTGCTGCTGCTGGCAATGTGCACAGGCCCGCATCCCAGAGTTTCCAGAACGGAGTCTTCGTCATCCAAAAGGACCTTTTCGGGGTTTTTCCGCATTTCGTCCATTAGCTGCTTTTCCAGCTGCTCGTCCAGCTGCTTCCGCTTTTGCTGCAGCGCCAGCACTGCAGCAGCAGTCGGCGGGCAGCGCAGCTCCTTCTTGTAAGCTGCTGCTGCTGCTGCTGCCAGCTTCGAGTCATAGTTGAAGCACTCGTTGCGGGAAGTCGGCGGCAAGTACAGAATCACGCAGGAGCCCAGGCTCTCTGGGGTTTTGCTGCGGGACAGCGAGATCACTGCTGCGTCTTCTGCTGCTGCAGCAGAAGACGCAAACAGCTCCACAAACGGAGACAAACTGTCCCCGTAAATCAACAAAAAGTCCACACCGGGCAGCACCAAAGACAGCGCCGACTGCATCTGGCTCATCTTTCCAAAGCCAAACACGCGGTTGAAAAACAAACACCGGCTCAGCTCCACTCCCCGCTCCGCCAACCCTGCGGCAGCAGCAGCAGCAGCAACAGCAACAGCAGCAGCGGCGAGAATTGCCACGTGCACACGCGCGTGCATACTTCTACGAGCGGGTAAATACGCTGCAGCAGCAGCAGCACCAGCCTGTGCATGCAGCCTCCAGCAGCCTGAACAGCAGCAGTGTGCTGTGGGGGCTCCAAAGGAGGTACAGCAGAACACAGCAGCAAGCCGTAAACAATGTGAGCGGATGCGTGCAGCAGTAGCCTCCCTTTGAGCCACTGCCGCAGCCAGCTAGCCCCTGACTCTGGCAGAGCTGCCATCCGCTGCAGCAGCAGCAGCAGCAGCAACAGCAACAGCAGCAGCAGCAGCTTACAGCTGTAGAGGGCGACAGATCCCTCGTCTGCCTCTTCCGTGTCTTCCTTGTCGACCAGCTTCTCTCCGTCGATGCACTTTTTGACTTTTCCAACCATGAAAGAAGGAGAAAAAGAAGCAGCAAGGAGCGCCTTGAGGAGAATGGGGTCTGACACGAAGTGGCTTTCCACTGCCGCCGCTGCTGCTTGGGGATCGTACGATATTGCCGTCTCCAGCTCGCCCGTTGCCTCGCCTCCAAACCGCTGCGCTTGCTGCTGCTGCTGTTGCTGCTGCTGCTTCGGGTCACCCCGCCGCCACTGCCACTGCTGCTGCAGGACCCCCGCCTTGCCTGCGGCCTGCTGCTGAAGATGTGGAGGGAAAATCCTCCCGTCTTGAAGCAGCTGCAGCAAGAAGCTGAGACGCTTGTACGCCGTGGAGGCTGCAACCAACAGCAGCAGCAGCAGCAGCGGCAGCAGCAGCAGCGGGGGAATTTGAGGACGTGCCTGCAGCCCCGTTGCTTCCAAATCAGGCTATGGCATGTAAAAAGGCTCGGCAAGCGGGCAACAGCAGCAAGCAGCAAGCAGCAAAATGCACACAGGGGGCACGGCCCTTGCTGGGGGCCCCTGGGGGCCCCCTACCACCCAAGTGGGGGGGGCCCGCGCCGCTGCAGCCACCTACAGGCGTCCACCAGCTTCAAGACCCGCTGGCAAAGGTCGCAGCAAAGAAGTGTTGTCTGAATAAGTCGCTTCGGCAGCACTGCGTGCATGCGCCCGAACTCTCGGGCCGCCCTGTTGTACTCCACCTGCGCGCAGCAGCAGCAGCAGCAGAAGCAACAGCCGTACCAGCAACGTGCTCACCGCAACAAATCAACCTGCTGCAATGGCGGCGAGACACAGCTGCGTCTGGACTTGTTCTACCCCACTGCCACTAAGGCTGGCAAAAGCAGCAGCGGCAACAGCATCAGCAGCAACAGCAGCAGCAGCAGCAGGTGCGCCTTACTTTCATGTTCATTTCCAAACGGCGAGAGTGGCTAGACGCCGCCTGGCGAGCCAGCCGCGCGCGCAGCTCCGCAGTGGAGGAGGCGAAGTGCAGCAAGAACTCAACGAAGCAGTTGCTGCAGCAGCAGCAACAGCAGTAGCAAAGGCGAAGCGCCCCGTTTAAGGATAAAAAAGGGACAAGGGGCAGTAAAGAGGCAAACACAAGGAGACAGATGAGCTGCTAACAGACACGGGAGCTGCCAAGCTGCAGCAGCAGCAACGAAGTCGCGCACTGGCGCGCAGCTTTTGCTGCTGCGCTGCAGCAGCGGGGTGAAAGAAAGAGAGCAGCAACGAGAGTGGCGCTAGGCAGTTGGCGCTGAGGTGCGCAGCGCTGGAGTGCAAGTACACCTGGGGGCTGTGGGGTGAGGTGTTCGTACACCGCAGCAGCCGCAAAGGAGCCGCACTCGCGTCTCGCCTGTTGCTGCTGCTTGTGCAGCAGAAAAAGCCGCAGCAGCACTCACCGCAGCATGAGGGGTTCGGAGAAGTGGCCGCCGTCGAAGAGCGCCCTGGACTTGAGCTGGTGCTGCAGCTGCAGCGCAGCCTCCAGGCCCGCAGAAACCTTCGAGTGCCGCTGCAGCAGCATCAAAGCTGGAAAAGCAAACAAGTCCGAACTCGCCAAACAACTCGCCAACACCACCGCGTCCAGAGGACATCCAAAAGCAATTCCCAAAAACACAAGCCTGCAAACACCCACACATCAAAGCTCCTCCCCAACTGCTCCATAAGGGCCTCCTGCTGCGCCCTATTCTCACGCCGCAGCGTCCACGCCAGGGGGCTCAAGGGGGGTCCCGCGGGGCGGGCCCCGCGGGGCCCCAGAGAGGCCCCAAGGGCGCCCCGCGGGGGCCCCCCGGCGGCCCGCGGGAGGCCCCAAGGGGGGACCCCGACGGGGACCCACCGGGGCGCAAAGGCCCTGGGATGGGGCCCCGGGGACCCCGGTAAGTCTGGCCTATTGAAGTGAATTAGTTTACAAAGACTGACTTGCAGAGCCGGACGTCTATAGGCAGCTGCATCATCAAATAGCCCAAACGCGTTATTTCCCCGTTAGCATCCAGAGCGCCCTGTTCCCTTAAACCCGCCTGAAGGCAGCAGGAGACCCTTTGCACGCAACCCTAAACCCTAAACCCTAAACCTCGCAAAAGCCCCGCTTTACGGCAACACGCCCAGTGCTGTTGGCCGCGACGCTCCCTAAAGGGATACAAGTCGGCTGCTGCTGCTGTAAAAGCCGCTGCAGCAGCAGCAACAGCAGCAGCAGCAGCAGGGGCTTCTCGGCTTGCCTGTGCAGCAGTGAGGGCCGAGACAGGAGGCGGCTGTACAGTGAGCAGCAGCAGCTGAGCCGGGGTCAAAGAGCCGGCTCGCATGCTTTCTGCAGCAAACACCAGCAGCAAAAACCCCACAGTCCCCAAAGCTGCATGCACACAGCAGCGCGGCGATGCCACAGCAGCATCCTAGCGCTAGCCTGAACTACTCATGGGGAGGCCCCCTCTTAAAGCTCCTAGGGGCCCCCGAAGGTCTCCCACGCCTCAGGAAACCCCCGGGGGCCCTAAAAGAGCCTTTGGGGGCCCCAGATCGTCTCCAGGGATCCCCAAAAGTCTCCACGGGCCCCAAGAAGGCCTCCAGGGACCCCCAAAGAGCCTCTAGGGGCCCCCCGAGTGCCTCCAGAGGCCCCCAGAAGGCCTCCAGGAGGTTCCCCAGAGAGCCTGAGGGGCCCCCAGTAGGGGGAGGGGCCCCTCACCCTGTATAGTGCTGGGCCTGTCCCTCGGCTGGAGCGGGGGAGCTTCTGTGGGGGAGAGGGCGTGGGCCGCCTTGGCTATGGCGTTGAGGCGCTTGGTGAGGTGGGCCACAGTTATGTAAAGTTTGTCGAGAGGCGCAGTTTGCATTTCGGGAAGGTCAAAGACGCGCAGACACTTGTTGTAAAACGACGACGACACCAGACGCACGCACACCCCAGGAAACACCCGGCCTACACGCCCGCAGCACCCCACCCGCACAAAACCCATCAGGGACCCCTCACCAAGGGGCACTCGGGGGGCCCGCAAGCAAACGGCACTCAAGGGACCCCTAAGCAAAAGGACTCATGGGGGCCCCCTAGCCACAGGGCACTTAGGGGGCCCCTAAGCAAAAGGCACTCAAGAGGCCCCCGAGCAAAGGGGACTTAAGGCAGCCCCTGACCAAAGGGCATTTAGGGGGACCCTAACCAAAGGGCACTCAGGGGGCCCCTAAGCAAAAGGGACTCAAGGGGGCCCCCAAGCAAAAAGCTCTCAACGGGGGTCCCGAAGCAAAAGGAGCTTGAAGGAGTGCCAAAGGGGTGCCACAACCAAAGGAAATCAAAGTGGGCCCAGAAGAGACCCCGAAGCAAAAAGGAATCAGAAAGAGGGGCCCCCGGAGCAAAAGGAGTTCAAGCGGGGTCCCTACAAAAAGGGCACTCTAGAGCGGCCCCGCAGCAAAAGCTACTCACAAGGGACCCCAAAGCAGAAAGCACTCAAAAGGGGTCCCCCAATCAAAAGGGATTCAAAAGGCCCCAATGCAAAAAGGAATCAAAGGAGGACCCCACACCGAATGGCACTCCAAAGAGACCCCCGCTATGTACAAAAATATTCCATATATGCCTGACTGCATTATATTCAACATATTTATACGTGCAGGCTGAAATGCATGAATGCGTTATTATGCATATAAGTACTTCTATACATATATATATATATAAACCCCACGCAAACGGATGAGGCGCGCCAGCACCGCCACTGGGGCCCCCCTAGAGCCTCAGGAATCCCCCTAGGGCCCCAGGGGCCCCCATAGGGTCCCAGGGGGCCCCATTGGTCACCAGCTCATTGCACGCATGATAATATCTTTGTGCATACATATGCCCCAAGAGGCTCCTCATGCATGCAAATGCCCAAAGGGGGCCCCCAGGGCCAATTTGTGCCTTTGGGGCCACCCCGAGGCCCCAAAGGTTCAAAATGAGTTTCCTGAAAAGGGCCAGTGCTGCGGGGGTCCCTGACCAACTGCCCACCTGTGCGGCCGCTGCGCTGCTGTGAAGAAGCGTGGGAAGTCCAGGACTTGACCAGTGCAGAGGCGTGGCGGCGCTGCAGAAACGGCGAAAAAAAACACAAACGGGGATATGAGGAAAACGAGAGAAAAAAGGAGACAAAAAGGGAAAAAAGAGGCTAAACAAGAAAAAGCAGATAAAAGGGAAAAAGAGCAGAAACCAAGCGACGAAATGAGGCAAAAGAGACCGAAATTTAGACAAAAAGGTCCTCCCGCCACCTAGCCAGGAGCAAGTGCTAAAGATTAAGAGCAAAGAGCCTCTAAAATCCCTGCACGGCTCTTCGTGCAAATTCTGGTGGCAGCACAAGGGGCCCCAGGTAGCTGAAGTGCGAGCAGGCACGCTTCTCAGGGTTTAGGGTCCAGCGCCTAAGAATTAGGGTTTAGGGGCTAGGGTTTAGGGGCTCGCGTCTAACGTCTACGGTTTAGGGTTTAAGGGCTAGGGCTAGTGCTTCGGGGGGGTTACCGGGTCGTAAATCATTTGCCTACGGAGGCAAAAGTCAATAACAACTCTGCAGTTCGGCAAAGTCAGAGAACTTTCCGCAATGTTGCTGGCCAAAACCACATGACAAACATTTGGTGGAGGCGCGCTGAAGACTTCAGCCTGTTCCTCCCGGCCTATAGTCGAGTGCAGCACAAAGAGCTTGCAGGCCGGCTGCGCGGGGCTGGGGGTACCGTCGGGGGGCCAAAGGCCCCGGGGGCCCCGGAGGCGCGGTCGCCCT